TTTTCATCTCTCTATCTTCCTTTTAATTCCTTGCTTTGGTTCTAATTATCTCAACCTGAGCTTTCACATTATATTTCTTCCTACCTTCCAAACCGTTACACACTACACCACACGTATCTTCTTAAATCACTCGACAAGGTCCAGCCTGACATTCAGTTTCCTCAACGGTATATATTGAACTTGGCTTTATTCCCTCATTCATTCAACAAACATTACAAGTACAGTTGAGAAGCTAGAAAATTTCTAAACACATCTTACAGTCTCATCTATCTGTAGTTTCCCCCTTTCTTGCTTCTATCATACTATTTGTCCATCTTGCTTCTTATCCATCTGCCTCCATCAATGAGTGCTTACCTACCTTCATACCTCTTTTCTTCAGCTCTACAACCTTATCACACTAGTTGGAAACCCATCCTTTCATTATACAGAATTTATCATATACTACTTTTAGTGATTTAGGTAAAAATGTTATTCTCTCCACTCAAATATAAGCTCTCTGAGGACAGGGAAATGTTATTTTATTTTTGTATTGTGTACAGTGCCTTCACACAGTAGGTACTTATTAAATGACTTTTGAGTAAATAACTGAGGCCATAGCTCATGCGCCTTCTTTATTTTAGATATTCCCATTCTAGCATTCCTCAGAGCCATCCTTCCTCCTCTCAGAAAGAGTCAAATTTGGCCAGGGGATTGTTCTGACAAATATTCTTACAAGTGTGTCTTAACCTCTCTTTAAGTCATTGTAATCCAGTCATTCAAAGAACACCTATTGAGAGGTTATTAAGCCTCAGAGAGTACTGCGCCAGGCTCTGAGGTTACAGAGCTGAACAAGACAGTCCTTGCTCCTGAGGACTCCGTGGTTAAAAGTTCTACAAAAGCATGTTTGTAATACTGAGAGAATCCTGGGGAGGGAGCTCTAACCTTGCCTGGGGAAGTAGGCAAAGAACACCACTATGTAACATTCCATTTCTTTGACAATGCAGGTGTTTTCTTATATTCAATCAACAGAACTTATTGTGCATCCAATGCTGTGTTTTCACACTCTGCCAATAGCTGAACTGCATTAATTTTTACCCAATAGACATTTCCACGAAATTCAAGAATCCTTACTTAGCTTGCTGCAACCGGCATTGTTCTGAGCATTTCATGGACAGTATCTCACTTAATCTTCCTGACAATTTTATGGAATATGTATTACTCTATATCAATTTAATAGGTTAAAAAATACCGTAGGCACAAGGAGCATGAGTTAATTGTTTATATTAATTGGCAGGACTGGGATTTAATAGAGTTGTTCTGATTCCATAACCTGTTATCTTAACTATCATATTACATGTTTAAATAATTTTGGGAGACCATAAATTAGGAAAAAATTATAGGAAACTCAGCCAATTATTTGACATTTTATGTTTTAAGATTGATTAAATCAAGCCTAAGAAGACAGCCACTTTTTCTTTAGGTTCAATGTAGTGAAAAAAGGCATTTCAGGTACTATTTTAAAGTACAAAACAACCAGTAAACCAAACCCTCTCCACAGAATTGTAAGGTTTGTAAAAACATGAGTCTCTTATAAATAACAGAAGTGAGAAGTGTCTTATGTTTCCATTCTGAAAATGGTCACAGCACTTTGCTTTTTTATTGCTATATTCACTTCTTGTATTGTTATTTTTATTTTTTAATGTTTTTTTTTTGAGAGAGAGAGACAGAGTGTGAGTGGGGGAAGGGCAGAGAGAGAGGGAGACATAGAATCTGAAGCAGGTCCCAGGCTCTGAGCTGTCAGCACAGAGCCCGACGTGGGGCTCCAACTCCATGAAGGTCCATGAAGTCATGACCTGAGCTGAAATCAAATGCTTAACAGACTGATCCACCCAGGCGCCCCTTAAATGTATGTTTTTAGGGGTGCCTGGGTGGCTCAGTCGGTTAAGTGTCTGACTTCGGCTCAGGTCAGATCTCATGGTTCGTGGGCTCGAGCCCCGCATCAGGCTCTGTGCTGACAGCTCAGAGCCTGGAGCCTGCTTCCGATTCTGTGTCTCCCTCTCTCTGCTCCTCCCCCCGCTCATGCTCTGTCTCAAAAATAAATAAACTATAAAAAAATAAAAAAATATATACGTTTTTAATGTTACAAGGTACACATTAAATATATCAAAATTTTATGTCAACTATACCTCAATAAAGTTAAAAAAATAAGTTATGTAGGAGAAAGAAAAAAAAGTAAATAAAAGGGACTGATTATACCTAAAAGGAAAGAAAATAAAACATAACCTACCTCACTTGTGGTTGGGTGTTCAATAAATATATTGAATGAATGACCACATGTGGTAAACATTCACACGTCCCTTTAGCGGGATGTCAGTCATCACACCCATTTCATCAGTTCTCCAGTGCAAAGTTGAGTTATATCTGAAAGGTCTAATGACACCAATTGTTTATATATTTTTATAACTGGTTTTTATGTCTGGAGATACACATTATTATAGTCTCCAACACTACATTCACTTAATGGAGGAGCAGCCTAGGTATGAATGTGGCAATTCATACACAAGGAGCATGTAAGTTGCATGAGGGGGATCATATATGTTTACATATGTGTGTGTGTGTGTGTATGTCTCTGCAAGGAGCGCCTAAATCTCTTGTAAATTGTTAAGTGAGAAGAGCACTAGGAGCACCTTTGGTTCTAATGAAGTGACTCTGGGTGGGCTTCTAGATGGGGGCTTGTCTCCAGAAAGACAAACCCAAGATTAAACCTTTGGAATTTTCAGCCCCATGGTAAACATGGTACCACGATGACATAAAATGTCCAAGTGAGGAGCAGATTTCCTAGGTAACACTTTCCTGTGTTTGTGAGCTCTCTAGTCTAGAGCCCAGAAATAAATCCATGTGTATTTGGTCAACTGATCTTCAACCAATTGTGTGCCAAGAACACACAATCAGTAAAGGAGAGTCTTTTCAATAAACGGTGCTGGGAAATCTTGATATCTACTTGCAAAAGAATGAAATTGGGTCCTTATCTTACATACACCATATACAAAAATCAACTCAAAGTGGATTAAAGGCTTAAATGTAAGACCTGATACTGTGAAACTACTAGAAGAAAACATAGGGTAAGATCTTCTTGACACTATGTTGGGTACCAAGTTTTTGGATAAAGCACCAAAAACATAGGCAGGTAAAGCAAAAGTGAAGTAAGATTGCATCATACTAAAGGCTTCTGCACAGCAAAGGAAAAGTCAACAAACTGAAAAGACAACCGACAGAATGGGAGAAATATTTGCAAACCGTTGATCTGATAAAGAGATAGTAACCAAAATAAATAAGGAATTCCTATAACTCAGTAGCAGAAGACAGATAACCTGATTTAAAAATGGACTAAACCTGAGTAGACATTTCTCAAAAGAAGGTGTACAAATGGCCAATATGAAAAAGTGCTCAGTATCACTAATCAAGGAAATGCAAATCAAAACCACAAGAAGATACCACATCACACCTGTTAAAATGCATATATAAAAAAAGGCAATGGATAACAAATGTTTGTGAGGTTACACAGTCAGAGAACGCTTGCTCACTGTTAGAGGGATATAAACTGGTCTATTGATTATGGAAAATAGCATGCAAATTCTTCAAATATTACAAATAAAACTGCCATATAATCCAGCTATCCTACTTCTGGACATCCAAGGATATCCAAAGGAAATGAAATCACTGTCTCTAAGACATATCTGCCCCCTCCCCCTCATTCATCACAGCACTATTTACAATAGCCAAGATATGGAAACAACCGAAGTGTGTGTTGATGAATGAATGGGTAAAAAATTCGATGTGATATGTATGTATGTATATATAGCATGTAATACTATATATTATACAAATATTGTATATGTACAATGTAATATTATTCAACCTTTTAAAAGAAGGAAATCTTGCCATTTGTGACAACATGCATGAACCTGAAGAACATTATACTAAGTGAAAAAAGCCAGACACACAAAGGCAAATATTTGACAATCTTACTTACAGGTTGGATCCAAAATTTTTAACTCCTATAAAGAAAGAGTAGAATGGTGCTTACCAGGGGCTAAGGAGAAGGGTTAATGAGGAGATATTGATCAAAATGTACAACAGTTCAATTACTTGGAATGAGGGGCGCCTGGGTGGCTCAGTCGGTTAAGCGTCCGACTCCGGCTCAGGTCATGATCTCGCGGTTTGTGGGTTCAAACCCCACTTCGGGCTCTGTGCTGACAGCTCAGAGCCTGGAGCCTGCTTCAGATTCTGTGTCTCCCTCTCTCTCTGACCCTCTCCTGCTCACGGTGTCTCTCTCTCTCTCAGAAATAAATAAAACATTAAAAACTTAAAAAAAACCCAGTTGTGTGGAATGAATAAGTTCTAGAGATTTAAAGTACAGCATGGTGACTGTTGTTAATAATATTGTATTATGCACTTGAAATTGTTTCAGAGAGTTGATCTTAAGTGTTCTCACCACTTACACCAGAAGACATAACTATGTGAGGTGAGTGATGTGTTAAGTAGCTTGATTGTGGCATTCACTTCACAAGGCTCACACGTATCAAAACATCATGTTGTGTGTCTTAAACATAAGCAGCTTTATTCGTCAAGTTTGCCTCAAGAAAGCTGGGACAAAAAGACAAACCAAAATGAAAATAAAAACTTGCGCGTGTTGACGTGATGGGTCTCCTAGAACTTGGGAAGAACGAGCTGCCTCCACCAGACGGAGAAGATAAAGGCCTTGTTCGAAGTGCGTCGGTAGAGTTGAAACTAGAGGTGAGGTTTGATTTCGTAAAAGAGGGAGAGGGCGAGGAAGAAGAAGGAGGGGGGAAGAATAAAAAGAGTGAGATGAAAGGGGAGTAAAAGAAGTAGAAGAAGAGGAGGAGGAAGAGGGGCAGAAGGGAGAAATGACTCCTGACACGTCAGCGTCCAGAGAGAGGCGAGGCCCACGTTTCGCTGTGAGCACAGACGCACAGACGGGCACACACGTAGCAGCCTCAGCACCTTCCCCCGAACTGGCGAGTGTGCATAGCGCAGACGGGAGTCAGTCAGCGGTCAGCGTGCCGGCTGTGTCACAGTCGTGCAGGCTTTCGGAAGCTGTGTTCAGGAGAGCAACATTCAGGCCCCACGGTGGAAGACGGAAGACAGCAGATGGGTGTGCGGTATTTCTAGGAGTCGTCAATCTCTCAGGAGTCTTGAAATAGACATCAGAGAGGGGAAGGAACTGCCTGAGACGAGCTGAGAGCATCCATATGGAGAGAGGCAGGAATTAAAACGGCCTCATGAGGGGAAAGTTGATACGAGAGAACATTATCATGGGACAAAATAAAGGCGATTGAAACCAGAGATTTTACAATGCAGTCTGTCCTAACGATTAGGCAGTATAGGCGAAATGTATGTTATTTAGAATTTCTTTTTAATTTTTAAAAAATGTTTATTTATTTTTGAGAGAGAGAAAGAGACAGAGCATGAGTAGGGGAGGGGCAGAGAGAGAGGGAGACACAGAATCAGAAGCAGCTCCAGGCTCTGAGCTGTCAGCACGGAGCCCGACGCGGGGCTCGAACCCACCAACTGTGAGATCATGGCCTGAGCCCAAGCTGGACCTTAACTGGCTGAGCGACCCAGGCGCCCTTAGAATTTGATAGTCATGATATTAAGTCTTCTTTGAGACGGGTCGGTCATGGGGCTACGTTAAGTCGTGGGTATTTTTATCACTTTGGCTTTTCCAGTGATGTTCTGTATAACTTGTGTGCTCATTCAGCTTAGTCCCGGTTCTTCGATTTCGAAAGTGAGCCCAGTTTACAGGCCGACAGGAAGACAGGTAAGACGGGGTTAGTGCCTCGGACTAAGTGTGTGTGCCGAGTGGGCACAGAGAGAGGAGCCATTACTGATCTCAGTGGGTGCTCAAAGAGGAAGAGCATGACTCTGTGGCACATTCTCCCTGCCCCCAGACTTACTGAGGTATTATTGTCTTAAAACATAAATGTCTAATATATACGTGCGAATATTTGATAAACACATACATTACAGAATGATTACAACAAAGCTAGTTAACACCTCCATCCCTAGAAGTTTATACCATTTGACCACCATCTCCCCATTCCCTGACCCCTCGCCACTGGTGGGTGCCATTCTAGTCTCTATTTCTATGAGTTTCATGTTTTTAGATTCCACATATAAGTAAGAGCCTGCAGTATCTGTCTTTCTCTGACTTATTGCACTCAGCATAAGGTTCTCAAGGGTCATCCATGTTGCCGCAAGAGGCTGAATTTCCTTCTTGGTGGCTGAATAATATTATGTGTGTGTGTGTGTGTGTGTGTGTGTGTGTGTGTGTGTGTGTGTCTATATAACACATTTCCTTCATTCATCCAGTAATGGACACTTAGGTTGTTTCCATGTCTTGGCTATAATGCTGCAATGGACATGGGGGTGCAGATATCTCTCGGATATTCTGCTTTGGTTTCCTTTGGATAGATACCCAGAAATAGGATTGCTGGATCAAGCAGTAGTTCTATTTTTTTTTTTTTTTTTTGAGAAACCTCCGTACTATTTTCCACAGTGGCTGCACCAATTTGCGTTCCCACCAACAGTGCACACGGGTTCCCTTTTCTCCACCTCCCCCGTACACTCGTTATCTCCCGTCTTCTTGATGACAGCCACTTGAACAGGTGTGAGGTGATAGCTCATTGTGGTTTTGATGCGCATTTCCCTGATGATTAGTGATGTTGAGAATCTTTTCATGTACCATTTAGCTGTCTTCTTTTTTAAAAAAGCTCTATGGAAGTCCTCTGCCTGTTTTCTAAGTGGATTGTTTGTTTGTTTTGCTATTGAATTGCATGAGTTCCTTATATATTTTGGATATTAACCCCCGAACAGAGAGATGGCTTGCAAACATTTTCTCCATAGGTTGCATTTTGTGCATTTCCACGGCCTTCTGTGCCCAGGCTGCATTCTCATTTTGCGCGTTGTTTCCTTTGCTGCGCACCAATCCTACGACCGCGTGACAGAAGAATAACCAGGGCTCACCGCATCCGTCAGGTTCTCTGTGTGATGATTTCACACTCTTGGTGGTCTCCCAAGCAAGCACTCACGTCTCTCGCATTATGTACAGGCTGTGGGCGGGCCGCAGCTCGGCACCGTGCTGGCGGCCATCTGTAATTCCACTCCCCGTGTTTCCTCTCCTGGATCCAGGCTGAAGGAGCAGCCTCTGTCCGGGACACGGCATTCTGGTGGCAGAGGGCAAGGGCACAGAGGCTGTGATGGCATATGGAAGGCGCCCTCCCCCACTGACATCCGCATGCCCCACCTCCTGCCAGGAGGCATCACAAGGGCAGAAGTGTACATCCTGCTCACATAGCAGGGAAAGAAAAATTTGGACAATAGTAGGAGGCACCATATTAATAGTCAGTTAGGCCTTAGTTTTACTATCCTGCTCTTTGGCATCTCTGGGGGTACCACGGGAAGGAAACAAGCCTTTGATTGTAGCTGTGGCAAAGAAAAGGGTCTGAAAGTGTCCCATGTCCGTCCATTCCTAATTATATCACATCCTTTTACCCCCGAAATTAAAAATGAATTCAATACTTAAAATGCAAATATAATTAGAAATGCAAAGAATATAACAATATTAAAAATGCAAAGGCATGCAAATATAAATTATGTAATTTATCTTTTTGACATATCTTGTCTGCAGAGACTTGTGCTGACATAATTTCATCTTGTTTAGTTTGCAGATAAAAAGATAATCCCTGGTACCATGTGAATTACACCGAGGAAAGCTCCTCTACACCATCGTACGGGGAAGGAAATACACACTATCCACTAGTATTAAAGGAAATGGGAAAAAAAATACAGTTTGACCTACCCAGGTCTTTCATTTCGATTGAGTTAGCAATTTAACCCCCAACATCTTTTTCTTTGGATTGCTTACTTAACCATCTTAAAGATGATGGGCCGTGGTTGTAGTGCAGAAGTATGCTCTCAGCAGTCTTCTGCCCGTAACCGCTCTCTGTAACCAACTTCCTGTGATTGAAAAGCCTAAGATATTAAGGTCTGAAAATTGAGGTTTTGAATTGAAAGGAAAACACCTCAATTTTAACATAGTGCAGGGCTTTGGCTTTTTAACATAGCTCTAGAAGAATCTTTGCAGGGAACATTTTCAAATTTGAGGTTATTTTTGCCTTAGCTCCTTCAGTAAATGAAATAAGAGCACAAAGCTTAAAACGCCATTAGGTTTGATGTGAATAGGAATGCAGATTTTGGATGTGTAATCATGTTTCATCGGAGGTCTTCTACCACCGCTATGAAAGTGATGATACTGTGCTGTGCATTTGTATTGATTGCTGCGTGTGGGAATTAAGTCACCAAGTGGCATCTTACCAAACTTTGTTGAAGACCAAACTCAAATCCTGCTCTCACTTCAGAGGACTTTTCCAATCGTGCGAGTCCTCAATGAGCTCTCTAAACTGTGACGTTATTTTTTACCTTTCCCACCAAGTGAGTCATGTGTTTTCCCAGACAGTATGGTTCATGGGGACAGGGCTGGGCCCAACCTGTTTATCCTTTTCCCGGCAATGAGCACAGCCTTGGCAGACAGCTGGTGCTTACTCTGTATTTGCCGATGGAATGAACGTGTTGATTTGCGTTATCGTCAGGGGTCACGTATTGTCGTTTAGGCCTCGTAGCATTTCACAAAGTGAAAGGGGTATGTATGGGATATTTTTTGAAGTGATTCTAAAAGTTCAGTTATGTTTGAGACTTCAGTGGTGCTACCTTTAAAGATGCCAAGTTTAGCCTTTTGACATGATACCACTGTGAATACTTTTAGCTGAGGGCCGTAGGGTACTTAGATACCTGCGTCCTGTGCCTCACATGGTACACCTTACCCAGAAGGCAAATGGTAGAAATGAACTGAAGTCTTAATTTTAACCATGACTTAGAACTGCCCACCTATGTTGACGAAATCTATACCTACTTATAACCCACATGAAATAGCAAACAGTTAATGGAACAAAGAAAACGATGAGACAGTCGATTAGTTAAGGGAGTACAAATATCAATCAGTGTGAATATATTCGAATCATGGACTCTTTGAAGTGGAAAGAAGTCTCTGGGGCCTTTCCAGTACATCTAAGGCATCAACAGGGAGGCATCAAGCAACTCTGGACTCTGACACCAGATGACCTTGGGTCCAGCTCTGGCTCCTCCATGTGTGTGGCCATGTTCCATTTATTTGACCTCTCTTTGCCTCAAATCCCTCATCTCCAAAATGGTGGTGACAGCAAGTATCTACCTCACAGGACTGGGGTGAGGATTACATGAGATAATGCAAGGAAAGTACTAAGCCTAGTACCACGTGGAATAAGTGCCTAATAAAATAAGTTATTGTATTGCTGCATTGTGATTGTTGTTTGTTGAATACCCGTGGTATGCTAGGAACTATGGTCAGGCTGCTTCAGGAGTTCGTGGATAAAGGACCATTTACCGAACACTTACCTAAGAGATGTTATGTAAAATATTGAATCCATTTTGTCAATACTTAACTCTAACTAGTGCGGAAGTTGAGACTCAGAAAGACTATGTAACGTACCCAAGGTCGTCCAGCCAGCGCTTAGAGGAGTCAGGCACAGAGCTCCCGGCTGATGGCTGTGATGTCTGCTCTCTCGGAAGGAAACACCTCCAAAAAGTGACGTCATGAGTGAGCGGCAGCAGTACTAGGTACAGCAGAGTAGGTATCTTGAGAAAGGGGAGATCATTTCAGGGTCGGGGTAATGGCGGAAAAATCCAGAAGGAAAATGACCTACTATGAGCAGAATTTTAAGAGAGAGAAATAGGGATAGAGGTCTAATTTGAACCCCCGAGAACTCATCATTTCTGTAGGTAAAAAAGTCCAATATTGTTATTTTCATATAGCTCAACCTAGAATAATTTGCGACCATAGTAATGGTATGGGCAACGTTTAAAGTGTGGAGAATTTCAATCCTCTCCCAGTTTTCCAATGAGGAGTCCCGAATGTCAGAGAGAGAGGAGAAAATAAAAAATGTGTACAGAGCAGGGTACAGGGATTCTGGAAAAAAGGTGATGTAATCTTCAGTGGGATGAAGTTCCTCAAAAAGCTACTGATGCCACGATTGTTAATGTGTTAAGTCATTTTGAACATCTTTGTACTTTTAGGCAATTTCTGTAGGATGAAAGCAAATGCTGCAATTCAAGCTGTAGAGAATAAGAAGGACAGTGCAGATGCTTTCACGGGGTCGTGTGAGGTTCCCACGAAACGTTAGAGTCCCCCGGAAACATTGCTTTCGTTATGTCAAGAAGAGGCGCGTATCAGACACAAATAACATTGCAAACATTCCTTCTGCTTCAATTTTCCAAGCATGTTTCCTGGGTACAAAAGTGTAAGGATATTCCTCTGCATGTTAAAAGGGTGATTTTGCACTTTTCTGATTGAAAAATAGAGACCAGAGTGGACACTTAAGGGCTATAAATATTTCTGTTTCTGGAATGATTTTATATGCTTTGCTGCCCCGGGGTGATTATTTATCTAGAGAGCTAACACATCTCACTGCACTTTGTTCTGAACTGGCATAGCCTGCGTTGCCGGATAATTCTTCAGAAGGAAGCCAGGGTGACATTATTCACAGAGTCCCAACCAAAGAGTTCTTCCCACCCCCCACTCCCCAGACCAGTCTCCCGGGGCTCCTTTAAACTACTCCCCCAAAGGTATCTTTTATTTCTAGAAACTTCTGGAGATTGTCAGATTGTTAACAATCTGACATTGCTAGATGCTAGACAATATACCAGAGTCTTTATATGCTTTATTTCATTTAATTTCTCAACAATCTTTTTGTTATTATTACTGTTGTTATATTGATATTGTTGTTAATCTTACATATGTAAAAACTGAGGCTTAGGGGGACAAAAAGAGACCTAAGTTGACATCATTTAATCTGAGACTTGGTCTCACTGACTCCGAAGCTCATTCTCTCCATTGACCCCTACGTGAGGCTCTACCCCCCAGCGCCCTACAGTCAGACATATCCTGTCCCATCTTAGTTCAACCATTGCAATATTTAACAATTTTGTATGAACGTCACCTTTATAAGTCAATGGTTCTCAGGTGGGGGTGGTTTTGCCATCAGAGGACATTTGGCAAAGCCTGGAGACATATTTTTGTTGTCACGATTAGCGAGTGCTTCTGGCACCCAGTGGGTAAGCTCCAGGAGCGTGTCGTGCATTCCACGGTGCTCGGGACGCCCCCCCCCCCCCCCCCCCCC